AAATGAGCTAGAACAAAGTCTCATTTAGGTTGATGTGTCGTGTAATAGTGCGATGATATACGAAATGTGTCATGGGAGACGCCATTAAATACGTCACGTCATATCTGTCAGGTATCCAGATGTACTAGAGAGAGAAATGGGGTTTAGCGTCCACTCGATACAAACTAGGTCATTTCGGGACTAACATATGGTTTAATTTTATTTCAATAATTCGCTTGCGCGTAGGGATCTTAAGCAGTGGGAGTAAACCTGAGGATAGGGAGAAAACCCACGAAGTTTGACAAGTGACCTCATCTTGTTGACTCAATGACAGACCTTATGATACAACGCGCACGCGCTAACCATTCGGTCGTCCACCCCTAAAACAAGCCAGTCTGTAATTATATCACTGCAACACTAAATAAAATAGAATGAAATTGGATTTAACGTCCTACTTTTCTGCCCCAACCGGGCTAATAAAGACGCGCATTCACCATTCAGTGTGCTGTGAGGAGAGTGGGAAATGGGGTTTAACGTCCACTCGACACAAACTAGGTCATTTCGGGACTAACACATGGTTCAATTTTATTTCAATAATTCGCATGCGCGTAGAGGTCTTTAGCAGTTGGAGGGGTCACCGGGGGACCCGGAGGAAACCCACGAGATTGGACAGGCGTGCTATGAGGGACATTTTACCCGGACAGCGTTTCATCCTCCAATAATAGACAATGTACTAAACACTTATTTAATATAATTAAGCACGGAGCATTGATAATAAATTGATCTTTTAATAAAATAATAAAATCTTTGATATCAACAGCCAACCTCGAATAACGTAGAACTCTAATCAACGATTGAAACTTATCGAGTTTTTCGCTTGAAACTTTAATCAACATATAATTATTTGAGTGATATTTGAAACCTATTTCGTGACCATGTCAATATTACATGTCAATGGGCTTTGAGCCGATGGATGGATCTACGATTTTGAGGCAGACTTCCCTTTACTCTCACGCACGCTTCTTCTTATACTCTAGTAACTAATGAACTGTTCATTAGCTCTCCCTACATGTCACATGGACAAGAAAAATAACAAAAATGTGCGTGAATCTGTCAAGAACAGAGAGAGAGAGAGAGAGAGAGAGAGAGAGAGAGAGAGAGAGAGATGGGTTTTAACGTCCACTCGACACAAACTAGGTCATTTCGGGTCTTTAGCAGTGAGAGGAAACAGGAGGACCCGGAGAAAACGCACGAGGTTGGACAGGCAACCCTACTCCTTGTCACGTACAACCGGGGATTCGAAACCACGCCAGTTGACTCAATGACAGGCCTTATGATACAGCGCGCACGTGCTACCATTCGACCCCCCCCTCCCTCGGTCAAGAACAAAAACAACGTAATGTTGATTAAAACTTTGTATGTCGCAAAAAAAAAAGAAATTATGTCAGACGTCGACATATTTTTATATTGAGCGGAGAACAGACGTGTAGAATTATTTACATGCAATGACCTTTCAAAAGAAAGAAATTAAACAAAGTTTGCAAACAGAGTTGTCTCCCATTATAGATTTACTGGAAGCAAATATGTGATAGCCGTCATCCTCGGTATCCCCAGTGATCTCATTCCGTTTCACTCCACTAACCACTGGGTTAATCCATGCGTGCAACACATATTCGAATTGTCTGCCCTTGATGTTCGTGCTATTTTTATCGACCAATCAAATAAATCGTTAAATACATAAAAAAAACTGACATGAAAATAACATCTTTGGACTTCTTTTTGTGCGCATGTCACTTCTTTTATATTAAATTTCTTGCAAACTTTCCAATAATCGAGCGAACAAGACACGGAGATCAACTTGGCACACTATAAGCCAACACAATAATTAACAACACGATAAGCAGAAATCAAGCTGGCACCCTATAAGAAATTAACTGGATGATCGTGACTGCAATGAAATCACGTGATTTATATAAGTAGTCCGCCCTTCGAGAAATGACCAACATGTTTACTAAACTATAGCTGCGTTAACGATTCTAAATGACCAGCACACTTCTTTATTTTCGGTTATGAAATTAGAATCAATAATTAGTAAAGATAATGATATTGTTTCGTCCATCATATTTCTCCATTCCTAGTCTTTATGTATTGTTTAATGGTCGAGCGAGACATTAAGTAATATATTGTAACATATTACGCAATGTCGTAAGCTCGAGACCATTAAACATCTTAAAATACTGACACTCAGCACGAGCTTTTACGTCACATTAGTCCAATATCTCACTGGTTTGAATAAAGTACTATTGGCAAGTTGCCCGTACGATTATTTGAAATAATGGTACGCCAACATCAAAGGGTGACGTCACATCTGTATTTTAAATAGATATAGTCTTTGTATTATTTTATATAGATGTTCCTTCGCACAAATCCCTGCCCTCCATATTACTACACATGTCGATTTAAGAAATGAAATGAAAATGGGATTTTACGTCCTACTTTTCTACTAATGAAACCGGACATACGCCATACAGAGTGTTATTAGGGAAATTTTGCCCGGACAGCGGCACTACGGCCTAACTTTATATCGAAGTCCAACTGCCAAAGGATCTTTTACGTACACGCCACTGTGTACACGCGACCTCGATTTTTTGTCACTGCTGAACGACTCCATACGTTGTCCCTTGCTAGCTATCCGTCCTACTCTACACCACTGACAAGGGGGAACTACTCCGGAAAATCTCTGTGAACGTTCGCATGTCAACTTACAGCAACTAAATCTATTCTTTGACAACTAGAAATTGACAACAATCGGTCACAACGCATATAATAATAATATAATATGAATGTATATAAACTAATTTACATTCAGTTGTTTCTGTTTTTACTCTAATTTCTAATCAGTTATGTTCGGCGAAATACGCGAACAGTCCAAATTGAATGACAGGCTTTAGGCGTCTGGTTATTCCAGTTTACACGCACGGGTAGTATTCTCCGGCGGGATATGTTTAGCACCGTTCATCGAATCGCTTCATTACAAATGGCGCTCTAAAGCATTCTGGTTAATTTTAAAATTTTAATTTTGTCTTAAATATTGGATATCAGAAGCTAATGCTTTCACGGTAAGATAACATCAATGTTGATTTAAACTGACCAATAAGTCGAGTTTTCAATATCAGAGACTGTGGGTGATATTGAGTCAGCGACTTGCCTCCTTTAATGTCGCCTCTGCTCTCATGCATCAGTAAAATACACCTTTTATTCATTTTATTATAAATAAACGAGATTTTTAACATGCATAAAAAATCAATCTAATTAAAACACAGATCTATATTTCATTTCGTTTTTTATACTTTCGATGGCCTACACTACATGAAGATCTGACCGGATGTATTGGAAGATAGCGTCAAGGGTCGTACGAGCGGTTTAGGACTCTATGACACCAGACATTGATTAATCAATCAGCATTGACGTTTCTAGTGGTTTACCCACACGCCAAGAACTCGCCGTAACAGATCGTTTCATTGGCTTATCTCTCACTTCAACCAAAAGGCCAGTAATATAACAACTCTTCCAGACCCTAGTGTAGTAAAGACAAGTAAAACGAAATTTTGAATTATAATAAACGAAACGAAATAGGATCTGTGTTTTAATCAAATTGCATAAAACATCTAGAATAAACAGAATGATATGTTACATGCAGTAAATATTTACAATAATGTACAGTCACATAAAAGATAAAGGGATATAATATAGAGAGTTTCATGATTATTTGGATTTAAAAGGATTATATTAAATTTCTAATACATTTTATAAGTTTTATCTATTTGATAGTTTTAGAAATTAAAATTTCGTAGATAATTAATTGTAGCTGACTTAGTAGATATTTTAATTTGCGCTAGTAATTCACAATTTGGTCTCCTGTATGGATTTGACCCAATTTCCTATTGCTTTCGTAAATAGATTCGCATGATTTTTTTAGTTTTTCCTTTGTTATTTAATTTACAGTAAATATAATCCTTTGGAATAATATCAATACGGGGAAAACGCAACATATTTTAGAAATGGGAAAACCCCAACATATTTTAGAAATGGGAAAACCCCAACATATTTTAGAAATGGGAAAATCCCCAACATATTTCAGTTAAGCTTTATGACCCTTTAAAGTAGTAGAAATGCCCAACATCAACATTCTCTCACATAAAATGAGATGAGAGAGGGAGAGAGAGAGAGAGAGAGAGCGAGAGAGAGAGTAGTAGTAGATACAGGAGAAATCCGACAAGCTAACATGTATAATCCACTTACTAAAATTCTGGTCAAGTAATCCTCCTTAAAGAAATATTTAAATAAATATAAACACAAGATTCAAAACAACAAATTAGATTAATAACAAACAAAAATACAGAACTTGTTTTTTTTTAGCGGCAAAATATAAACGAAACGAAATGATAATATGTACAATGATATATCAAAAAATGTATTTAAAACTGTTTTAACACGTGACTAGTAATGCAATCGTATTAAAATACAGATCTATATTTCGTTTCGTTTCGTTTTTTTTTATACTTTCGATGGCATACACTATATGAAGATCTGACCGGTTGTAGTGGAAGGTGGCGTCAGAGGTCATACGAGTGGCTTTTGACCTTATGACGTCAGACATTTGATTAACCAATCAGCTTTGATGTTTCTAGTGGGTTACCCACAGCGCCGTGCACCTCACACTAAAAACTCGCCGTAACAGACCATTTCATTGGCTAATCTCTCACATCATCCAGAACGCGGGTTATATAACAACTCTTCAAGATCCTAGTGTAGTAAAGACAAGTAAAACGAAATTTTGAACTATAAAAAACGAAACGAAATAGGGTCTGTGTTTGAATCAGATTAGTAGTAATGTATCCCTATAGAAAACTGTGTAAGATCACAATTTCTGGCGGATTATAATCGATTCGGTGTTGATTGGAAACGGTCCAATCAGAAGAATCGTTGTAAATTGTCTTTGACACCAGTGAAAAGCGAAACTAACTTCGATAAGTAGACATATCTCCGATCTTAAAGAAAAAAACAAAAACAAAATAAAGCCGGATTTAAAAAGAAAAAAACAACAACACAATCTCACACATACAAAAAACCCTCTGTCATCTCGAGTTAACTTAGGAAACCCGCAATAGTTTTATATTCCTGATAATCAGTTTCGGTTATTTGAATTTGCCGCCAAAATCAATGAAGTGGTCATGTGGTTATTACAATATTGTCAACAGATTCTACAATCTCGGCTCCCAGAGAGAAGTTTACCGTTTGTTTCTGTCTGGGGAATCGCGTCGGCCATTTTGAATGTCGCTTGATGTATCCTTCCGTCGGTCGTTTCACAAAGATATAAGATGGCGTCTCAAACTCGCGTTTCTTCATAAATTGGGCGTATTTTACGCTCATAGCCGAATAGTTCGAATGATGAATTTTTGAGGCTAAGATGTGGAAAATGTTCCAAGGATCATTAATATGTAACTCATGCGACGAGCCGATACCTAATTGTCGAGAAATAAGCAGTATTTCATTCAACCAAATCCAGCCAATCAGGGACCATTGGGGGAGGGGCTTAGGAACCGAATTCAGACTGATTAAGGGCCGGCGTGATTACGCAGAGAGAGAGCCGAACGGTAAACTTCTGTCTGGGAGCAGAGATTGCAGATTCTATTCATTAAGCAGCCTTATCTCGTCTCTCAATAATATAAAACAGCATTATATCGTCTCGCAATAATATAAAACAGCATAATCTCGTATCGCAATAATATAAAACAGCATAATCCCATCTCTCAATAATAAAGTAGAGCATGCCCCGAGGATTTAAAGTCGTCCAGATACCTGTGAATTGTTATGTTTTCGTCGTCGGTACCAGAGGAAAGCGATGACTACAGCAATAAGGAGGAGAACAATGACAGCAGCTATAACTATTCCCACTACACCACCCGTTGATAATAAACAATAGTCCGATCCATCTCCACAATTATCGAAATCATTACAATGTAAATCATTATGAATACATCGTCCATTGTTACAACCAAATTCGTTAGCACTGCAAGCACCTGTAATATAAGAAGAACGACGAATACTGGTAAGAAACACAGTCAAATCAGGTTAGTACTAAATGAAAAGGCCACCATAGCCTTGATTATGGTCTTTTCATGTTAATAAATGTCTAATTAATAGTTTATATAACATGTCAGGCCTAAAGAAAGACCAGCAATAAGCAGATTTAGCTCTTGTATAATGTATGTTTAATATGATTAATACAATGACGTCATTATTAATGTGACGTCACAATGTATGTTTAAACCAATCTACGACTCTATACAAACAATACTAAAGGCTTGAGATGGTATCCCTGGTATATCAAATTTTTCCTACGAAACTTTAGGTTTAATTTTCAAAAAATGTATTCCACTCCAATTATGGTCTGGATAAGTTAATAAATGTCTAAATAATTTAGATAACATTTCAGGCCTACAGAAAAACCTGCAATAGACAGATTTAGCTCTTGCTTATAAACCTGTAACGGTAAATCTCTTTGATCTTTGGGGTATATGCTATGCCCGGAATAACTTGCGGTCTGAAAGTTGGGGGCGGCTTTGGATATATACAGGGAAATTTGGGGTTATTCTTCTGAAAGTTTTTCTTTAAACCTGTAACAGGTGATTCTTACAGGGTAGGTTTTTTTCCATAAGAAAACATGATATAAGTTTTTTCTTGTGGGAATTCTGGGATATTCTCATTTTGTGTACATGTAAACATAGACGGTTTATAAGCAAGATAAAGTCCTCAACTTCGATTATGCTGGGGAAGAAAGACTTCAGAAAAAAAAACCTCGACAGAAAAACCTCGGCCTGCTGGCCTCGGTTTTTCTTTTTCTCGGGTTATTTTCTTCAGTCTTTCTTTCCCCAGCATAACCTCGGTCTCGTGCTTTATCCTACACATAATGTATGTATATATATGTTTACATACCTCTATGATAAGCTGTAAAGGTAAAATCAAATTGATCATGAAAAAACTGGAGATATCTAGAGAAAGCTATTAAAGTCTGGTCCCCTGTACTTGTAAAAGCTGTCATCGGCGGTAAACTTCCACAATGTTTTCCTGAAATATAAAATAGGTATTAACTTTAATGGAAAACGAAATAATGTAAGTCGAAAAAAACCAAAACGTAATAGTTCAACGGCAGACTATTTAATTTTCGTAGATTACGTTTTCGGACGTTTGTTTTTAAATGTGTAGACCAGGGGTGTGTCAAACTCATTTCGATTCAATGACCGTATGAATTTAATTTTTAGATCAAGTGGGTCGGAGATATACAAAAATATCAAGGAAAATTTTAATGCCAAGATATAATACTGAACACAGCGTGTATTTTTTATTCCCTTGTATTACACACAACTTATATATATCTATGACATACAGTACATAAGTCAGAGTTTTACTGAAAACGGAGAACAATAATAAATGATTTCGACCGCTAGTTTCTAAGAATTATCAACACACCAGTTTGTTGAAATTTGTTCCACGGGCCACATTTAGACCATGCGTAATCGTTGATTGACTTGTGTTAAACGCCAACCGGAATAGGGACTCAATAACGAGGTTGCTTAATATTAAAATACAAAAATCAAACGAAACGAAAAATAAATTAAATTATAAATGCCTATAGTATAAGTGATAGACTCAATGAAGAGGTTGCTTAATATTAAATTATAAATTCAATCGAAACGAAAAATAAATTAAATTATATCTAGAAGTGATCGACTCAATAAGGAGGTTGCTTAATATTGAATTATAAAAATCAAACGAAACGAAAAATAAATTAAATTAAAATTAAATACCTATAAGTGATCGACTGTTATTGGTATATCCTTCAAAAAATTCAATATAGTCTCGATCACACCCGAAAGGAGTCTCAATATGTATCCCTAGAAATTTGAATACCAATTGCTTTCCATTTGGAGACTTGATTATCAGGGCACAGTTTTGATTTCTAAGTCCATTAGCTTCTGGACGTCGTAGTAGAAGACGACCACTTTCTATCTGTTTACTGCGCATGTCAATGGTTTGTCCGCACATCTCATCCATAAAATCTGAAAATTAAAAATCCTACTGAACACCAGACCCGTATCTAGCTAGCAGGGGTTGGGGGCAGTATGGGCGCCCCATAAAGTGACATTGGTTAGGCGTCCATGACGAGTTTGGCGGGCGGCAGACCAATGTCACTTGGTTTGATTGGCGCCCCGAAAATCATGTTGTTATACATGAGGCCCATCCCAAATGGTGAGGCCCCATAGGCGCTCCCAGGAGCCCTTGCCCCCACCCCAACATTTTTTTTAAGCTAGCTACGGTTCTGAACATCAGAAATTAATCTCTTTGATTTATTTCAAAACATAGTCGTGTTTGTATTGGATTGATCTTCCCCTGAGTTGACAAAGCATTCTCAGACTTAAGTTAAGAATTTACTCAACTTTCAATCACTGTTTATAAGGAATATCTTTCATCCAGAAACACAAAACTTTGCACATAGTTTCTTATTGATTTATTTAATACATTAAAACAACAAAAGTTTTATAAAAGTCTATATTTTAGTTAAAAAAGACGAACAATTGTGAGTAAATTCTTAACCTAATTCTGAGAAAGCTCTGTGAACTCAGGGCCAAATGCATTCTTCCTGTTAGTGATATAATTGTTTAATTACGGATATGAATACACGATTAGTGATGGAGATGTTTGATTAGTGATGGAGATGTTCGATTAGTGATGGAGATGTTCGATTAGTGATTGGAGATGATCGATTAGTGATTGGAGATGATCGATTAGTGATGGGGATGTTCGATTAGTGATTGGAGATGATCGATTAGTGATGGGGATGTTCGATTAGTGATGGTATTGGTCAGTTAGAGATGGAGATGTTCGATTAGTAGTGATGGAGATGTTCGACTATTTAGAAATATTCGATCAGTGATTCGATTGATCGATTAAAGATGTAATTGTTCAGTTAGTGATGAACTTTTGCGACCAAAGCAGGAATCGAACACGCGAGCTCCGGGCTAGCGAACCAGCGTCTTACCCACTTAGCCACTCCCTATACAATAATTGAAAATAAACATTTAGAATGACGACACGTGATCATGGATATTGTCAGTAAAACTGGATAATAGATAGGGTTCTGTGGGAAAATATCTAAAATCTATAAATAATAGGAATCTATTGGGGTGATCACTGTGGCTAAGTGGGAAAGACGCTGGCTCGCTAGCCTAGAGGTCGGGTGTTCGATCCCTGCATTGGCCGAGAAAGTTCACCCAGAGTTTCAGTGATGCAGGACGGAGGGCCTGACAATGACAGCTGTCTAATCGTTCGGATGGGACGAATAACCGAGGTCCCGTGTGCACACTGGCGTGCACCTAAAAGGTCCCTTGACAGTTGGAATTCGATATAAGAGTAGGTTGTAGTGCCGCTGTCCGGGCAAAATTTCTCTCATAGCACACTGTGTGGCGTATGCCCGTTTTCATTAGCCCAGTTCGGAGCAGAACAGTTGGATGTTAAACCCCATTTCATTTCATTTCAGGAATCTATATTGTATTCCAGACATTTAATAATTATGGCGTGTGTATTTAATACACGTAAATAGAGATGGCGTGTATCTGGAAGGATAGCAGTAATATTTTCTGTAACAAAGAACATAGTTTATCATTTAAATGTGCGTGCGATCTGGCATAAATTCCGTCTTAACCATCCAAAGAACTTAAACAGACTGGAGACTACAGTTGACAGACAATAAACCCCCCCCCCCCCCAAAAAAAAAAAAGAAAACAGATTCCAGCCAGGAATAAAGAACTTCTGACACTTCCGTGTATAATGCCGAAGGGGATCACGTGGCTAAGTGGGTAAGACGATGGCTCGCTAGCCTGGAGGTCGGGTGTTCATCCAGATTTTCCGGCGTGGTTAGCCCTTGTCAGTGATGCAGGACGGAGGGCCTGACAAGGACAACCGTCTAGTTATTCGGATGGGACACAAAACTAGGTACCGTGTACACATTGGCGTGCACGTAAAAAAAACCTAGACAGTTAGAATTCGATATAAGAGTAGGCCGTAGTCCTCGGGTGAGACGAAAAACCGAGGTCCCGTGCATACATTGGAATGCACGTAAAAGATCCCTTGGCAGTTGGAATTCGATATAAGAGTAGGCGATGGTGCCGCTGCCCGGGCAGAATTTCCCTCATAGCACACTATATGGCGGATGCCCGTCTTCATTAGCCTAGTATAGGAGCAGAACAGTAGGACGTTAAACCCCATTTCATTTCATTTCATTTGTATAATGCCGAGGAAGTCACTGCGAGTGTAAACGCTAAGCTTTAAAATAATGTGGTCTTATATTGAATAATAGTTGTAAGATAAAATGAAATGGGGTTTAACGTCCGGGATTTGCTGCACGAACCGAGCTAATGAAGACGGGTGGTTGTAAGATGGAAATAGTGTCTGGATAATCAATACAAGAGGAATTGTATCATAAGATACGTTCCGTCTAGATTCTCTGTTCGTCGCCAACATCTATTTAAAGCTACTGGACTTAATTTGAGAGAGAGAGAGAGAGAGAGATTAAAACACAGATTCTATTTCGTTTCGTATTTTATAGTTCAAAATTTCGTTTTCCTTGTCTTTACAGACCAAATTCCCCTCATAGTACACTGTATGGTGTAGGCCCGTCTTCATTAGCTCAGTGGGAGCAGAACAGTGTCACGCTAAACGCCATTTCATTTCATTTCTATTCGATATAGAGTAGACCGTAGTGCCGCTGTCCAGACCAAATATCCCTCATAGTACACTGTATGGCGTATGCCCGTCTTCATTAGCCCAGTTTGGAGCAAACCAGTCGGACGTTAAACCCCATTTCATTTCATTTCATTTCTATTCGACCTATCTTTGTAAATACTGTATAATTATGGACTAAACTTGAAGTTGGCCTTATCATTTAGATCTAGCCATGGCGTACGTCCGTCTTCATTTGGCCAGTCGGTACAAAAACTCTAACTCAAAGAAGAACATCATG